TGTAATTGTCCAGAATTTTAGTTCTGTTTACTTATTCTATAAATTTTGCCTTCTTGTATTGTTTTATGCAGTCGTTACTCAGATTTAACCCTGTATTTAGCATTTTTTTGTTTTTAATTTTTTTCTTGCATCTAAGATTTTACTTATGGTAACAGTTGTGTTATGTCTGAGGTACACCCTTTAGGTTGTTTTTTAGATAAAATTTTGTTGGTTAACATCTCAGCTGGGCGTATTGTTTTCCTTTTTTCTTTTTTTTTTTTTTTTTGGCCCGAAAAGATATTTATTTTTGCATTTTCCTTGAGGATAGCTTTGCCATGATTGCAGTTTTAGAAGAATGTATTTTCCTCTGCACAGTCAGTACATTCTATTTTCTGGAATCCATTGTTTTTTGAGAAGTCAGTTATTAATCTAATTGCCCTTTCTTTATAGCTGATCTATATTTTCCCTCTGGCTGTATTAAGTCTTTTGTTTATCATTCCATTGTGAATTTATAGTTGTAGTTTCTAATTATCCTGCTGTGGATTTGTTGGGCTGCTTTGGGTATTTTAATCAAAAAAATAGTCATTTTCTCTTGACATTGTCTCATTCCTCTTTCTATTATCACCTTCTTGAAATTTGTTTAGATATATGTTAAATCTTTTCATCCTATCCTCTGTATCTCTTAAGATTTCTTTTTTATTTTCTGTCTCTTCTTGACTTGGTGCTACATACTATGTTAATTTTTTGGCTCTCCCCAATTCACTAATTCTCTTTTTACTTAAATTTTAATATGTCATTTGATTCATTTTTCTTTTTTTACTTTCTTTTTTATTTTCTCTTTTTTAGTTTGGGTAATTTCCTTTGACCTATGTTTTAAGTTTATTGATTCTTGACCCAGTTGGCTTGAATCTGTTAATGAGCTTATCAAAGGTATTCTTCATCTCTACACCACATTTTTTGTTTCTCACATTTTCATTTTACTCAAATGTTTTCCTTATGTCTGCTGAAATTCTTCATCTATCATAGTCCCCCTTTCCTACTGAGTCTTTACTGTATTAATCTTAGTTGCTTTAAATCTTGTGATGCTTCAGCATCCAGAATCATCTCTAATTTTTATGATTTGCTCTCTTGATTGCTTCCTCTCGGCAGTGGATTGTTGATGTTTTTCTTCCCCTTTTATATTTTTATGTGAGACATTATTTTGGATTTAATGCTAGATATTGTGTGTATAGCAATAAAGACTGAGGATCGACAGTGTTTGGGCCTGGAGATGAAGACACCTCTTCTATTAGAAGTGAAATAGATTTGGATTTTTTTTGTTATGGTTACCTTCAGTGCACCAGTGATTTCAAATTCCTCTAGATTACTTCGAGGTTAGGATTGGGACTGATTTGTTGGAACATTTTCCTAAACACTTGTGTTCCACCCTCAGTTTTAGGCCTTCCCTGTGCTTTTGTGTTTCAGACAAGATCTCTCTTAGTATTCTCCTCTCTCTCCCAAATGGAGACTGCTAGTGCTTGTTATTGCTTGCTAGCCTGGCAGTGGGGAGGAAGGGAAGGGCATTTGGGGAGCAGTTTTTTTTGTTGTTGTTCTGGTCAGTCCTTACCTGCTTGGTTGCTGTTTACAATCTCCTGCTTGTTTTCAAGGTTTTTTGTTTGTTTGTTTGAAGTTTTTGTTGTTGTTGTTTTATTGCTTTGTATGTTCTCGTACTTCCAATGTATTAGAATGTTTGCAAGTATGATTCTGTTTTTTTTCTGTCCATAATTGCTCATCATGTCTTATTTGCTCACATAATTTTTTTTTTTATAGTTGGGGTTTTTTTGATATGTTTGTACATGAGTTTATATGTCTTGAACTTTAGACGTGGGAATTTTTTGAGGTTTGGGTTAAAGTTGCATTCTTGCAAAGAAGTTTTAGATTTGTTTTTGCCAGTTGCACATGTTCATTATTAGTCCTGAACTTCTTTAAGTTTACTTATGTCTTTAAGGTATTATGAATTCAAACTGCAGACCTGCATGAGGGATGGCTTATATTTTGAATTCTCAGGTTAAACGTTTTTTGTTTGATTGCTTTTTCCCTGCTGTTCTCTCAGTGCCAAGCAAGTTTTCTTCCTGTCTCCTTCTGCAGGGTGGGCTTATACCTTGCTCACCCCTTACAATGAGGGTATAGATATTTGGATGAGCTTTCTGAATAAGTCCTCCAATGGATTCTCTATCTTTGGTGGATTCTCTTTTATTTCCTGTCTCCCATGCTCCTACAACTCTCAAAGTGAAGGGTCTAGTCTCTCCACAGTGGAAAAATCATCTGGTAGTTTGGGGGCTTTGTTGGTAGACTACGTCCTGGTATTGGTTTCACTTCATTCTTGGTCTTTGGCTTCCTTACTTTTGTGCCATTTCACATTCAGTATGTGTTTGCAAAGTTTTTTTTTTTAATCTCATATTTTGCTTCTTTTCAGATGGAGCTTTAATCGTTTATACATTGCTCAGTTTTGCTTTTCATTTGATACTTTTCCCAAAATTTTGAGGCTTAGAAACTCCTAAATTTAATTTACTGTTATATTTTGAAAAGCCTTTATTGTTTAAATCTCTGCTTTGCTTACTAAGTGGTGAATAATAAAAGATCTAAGAATCATATGAAATGGGAATTTCACCTAAAGTAGATAATCTGATTTATCCCTCGATAGGGCAGTATGAAGGAGATGAACTTTTTAGTCACACTTGGGTTTTGAGACCTAACCCAGTTGTTTGAATAATTTAAGTTTTGTGAAACTCTACCATCTATTGAAAGAGTAGCTATGTAATAGGGTCATTGTGAGCCTTAAATGATATAACTTACCATTTCTGGTACATGGCTTGTGTAATGGTTCAGGAAACACAGTGTTCTCTCATCAGTTTTTGGAAGAGGACATTGAATTACAAGGAGGAAGCATGTATTCGCTACCTACACAAAATTCTGTAGTTGTTGAGTAGAAATCAGTTCCCTGTCTCTTCTGGATTTTACCTTTCAGAAGAGTGAGAAGAGTGATGTTCAGTCACATTCTGCCTTCCTGTATATTTCTCGAATACTTATACATATTTCCAGGGATCTAACATATTTGAGGAGAAAGAATATAATGCCCATTTTGGCACACTTCTTGAATGTTAAATGAGCAGACATGCGACATAATGCAGGCCCTTAGCTGGTTAATGAGATAACCCTATCTAATAATTATGGTCAGTATGCTTAGTGCTATAGAAAAAGTAGCACCTTCCTGAGACAGAGGAGTTATTTGAACTGGATCGTGAAGTTTGTGTAGGAGGCCAAGATATTCAAAAGAGGAGTGGGCTTTTAGGCAGAAGTTACAGCAGCATATGCAAAGACCTGCAGGCAGTAGGGAGCGTTTCCTGTTTCTGAGAATTCTAGGTTGTGCACATGCAGTGAACTTGTCATGTCTGAGGAAAGGAATGTCTCTTGTGGTTATGGAATAGATGGCAATTGAGATGTGTCTTAAATGATTGGTAGTGTTTCAGCATGTGAAGATAGAATGGGTTGGCTAATACAAATTGAGGAAATAAGTTACTTAGACAGAATATACATTACTTACATATAAAGACCTATGAATAATCATGTTGACTTGGCCGCTACTTACTCTTGAACTCTCATAACTGAAGCAGAACAGCTTAGACATCAACTCTTTCTGAGAAATCATCAGGAAATTTTACATATCTCATTAGAGCTTTTATGTGAGAGGGATTTTGTGAAGAAGATAAAGGAGCAGTTTTTCCAGGCTTACAACGTATGAGATAAAGTGATAAAACTGTTTTGGGGTTGAAGTGTATGTGACTTTGACTGTCAAATGTAATAGTTTAAATTTTATTTGATAACTTAGTGGTCCATCGTGGCCTTTCAAACGAGAGACCTGATGTAATGATGATTTATCTAGGTGATTTATCTGAAAGAGCCGGATGGAGTTAGAGAGGAACGTGTCTGAAGCAGCAGAATCACCTATTGCTGTATTTCAGGACTGAAGTGATTAAAAAACTTGAATAAGTGTTAGTAGTAATAGGAATAAAAGAAAGGGCATTGTGAGAGTGATTTATAAAAAAAGAATGACAAGTTCTAAGAAATGGTTGAAGATAAGATTTGGAAGACAAGCAGGGGAGTTAGAAATGTTGAAATTTCACACTTGGATGACTAAGGAATTTTTTATGTTAGCAGAAGATAGGACATTAGCAGGAAAATAGTTGTGAGGGAAAACTGAAATTATATGTTATTTATTGGGTGTGAGATTAATTATATTTTAGAACATGTCTTTTGTAAAATTGAGTTTTTAAAATTATGGTTTAGTTTGTAATTAGGCAGTGTGGTCTTCTGTCAGCAGCATGAGTTTTGGAGACAGGCCTATATTCCCGCTCACCTTCAATAAATATCACTGTTAACTAATCTTTTTGGATCTTATTTAAATTGTAAGCTAGTGATAGCAATACCTGCTTATAGGGTTGTTGTGTGAACTAAATAGTATGATGTGTATGCATAGCTGACCCATTTTAAGCCTTTAATAAGTGCTCATTGTCCCTTCTTAAAAGATGCCAGCCTTACTTTGGCTATAGTCATACATTGAGATGGACACCAAAGAATAATGGATAAAGCATTTTTGTTTTACTATCCAATTCACCAAAATCGTAACCTTGATTGTTTGCTAAATGTGCGTATGATCTGGCAATTTGTAATTGAACTAGCTCAGAAGTTATAATTATTGAATGCGTAGGTGTACTTAACAGCCTCTTTTTCTGGTAAGTGACTTTACTTAGAGGATATATGTTTATGTGAGCAAGAGAGTCTATTTCCTGGAAGGAAATTGTGGTCTCCAGATCTTTATAATAACGTCACCTTTAATCTTGAACATTATACAGACTGTTTTCTTGAGAAAGTTTCTTGCAAGAAGTAAATGAAGCCTCCTTATGAGCTTGTTAAGACTCCATAGACTGTCAGTAATATGGAAAAATTGGATGTTTAACCAGGAATGTGAACATGTGTTTCAGGTAGAGAATTCCAAAGATAATGAAGATACTATTCTACAAAGAGAAATTCCTGCCAGACAGTCTCGACGGAGGTTTCGGAAAATTAACCATAAAGGAGAGCGCCAAACCATTACTGATGATGTGGACATTAACAGCTATCTTTCTGTGAGTACATTTAGGAGCGTTTCATTGATCTTCCTTAATTTTTATATCAGTATTTTTAATTGACATATATTTTGGCGCTGTCAACACTTTGGGCTCTGTGTAAAAGTTTGGGGCTGGTAAAGATATTTATATAATTTTTTTAAATTCTGCTTGGTCGAGTCAGGTAGAAATACCCTTACCAGTGAGAGTTTTGTTTTTCTTTTGTTTTTCTTTTCTGCTTAAATAATGTAAAACTAAAAAAATTCTTACCATACATTTTTAAACACATTTGTGGATTTTCTTGCTTTTTTATTGCTTGAATGGAATATAGATTAGAGTCCTGAAAATTCAGGTAGTAAACTCACTGAAGCTTTTTTTGTGATAATGCTTTAAGGCATACAAAAAAAATAAAAATATGTCATTTCTGCCCTTGAGGTGTGGGGACAAATATGCATATAATGTGTGTTATTGGAGAAACATACACAAGTGTTAAAGGTGTATTTTCACATGCAAATATTGACAAAGAAGCAGATGAACTAATTAACTTGTGGAATACCAGAAGGAGCATAAGCTGTTTCTCCAGAAGTCTTCAGTTTTGTAACTGTAGATAACTTCATTTTAGACAAAAGCTAGTTGAATCAAGAAGTAAGGATAATCCAAGAAAGAATAAATCCAGGTGGATTTATCAGTTTTCAAAGGAGTCATGATCCCCCAGAATATAAAAACAGTCTAGAGATTGACTGCAGCAAAATTCCTGAGGATATGATTTGTTCTTTTGCTCGTCAGAAACAGAAATGTACTTACTCCATATTGAGAACAAGGAATTATTTAGAGAATAGTTTGTACTAGAATAAGTGTTAAATTTTAGGCAGCTCAAAGGATTTAGTCTCATTTGCCTAATTTCACTAACACAGCACATTCTACATCTGACAGCAAACTATAGTACCAAAAGTTTTTATGACAATCAGAGCCACACAAAGTTCATTTTCTGTTCTTATTTAATTTCTTTTTTATAATAAATTTTCCCATCACTAATTAAGCTAATACGTTTTGCCTTATTACACAAGTAATATGTGACTGTTTTTGAAAAATTAAAAGTTAGTACACAACCCAGTTATTTAACCATTGATGACATTTTCTATATTCTTGGATAAAGCTTTTATCATATAAAAAGATATGTAAGCTTTTTGACTTTTTAAAACTTAAATATATGATATGTCCTGTAATTTTTTAAATCTTGTAACTGAACATCTTTGAATGTTATTAAATGGATTCATTTTTTACAACACTATTCTTAATAGTGTCATGGTACTCTATTATAATAATTGCTGAAATTTATTTACTCAGTTCCCAGTATTTGGTCATTTATATTTTTATAGCTTTAAATTAAAAAATTACTTTATAAAAAAATAATTAAAAAAAAAATAAGGTGCTAAGTGTCTTTGGTTATATATGACCATATCTTTTTTTCTTTAGAAAAGAATCTAAGAAATAGAACTGCTAAATTAAAATAATTATTTTGTTCTTTTCTCCTTGTATGAGTTAGAGTCTATGCATAGTTCGTGTGTGTGCTTTGATGATTTGCTTATTCTAGTTGCAACTTTAGTATGTTTTCTTAAATTTTTTTGGTGTTATGTCACAAAGCTTAGACAGATTCCATATTTTCTCTTGGTAACTGTGGCTAGTGCTTATGAGTCATTTACTTTTAGCCCTCATGTGTCCTGAAAGTTGTCCTCATAGGGATATGCACGTTTCCTGAGTACACCAGAAAGAGCTGTAGGCCCATTGCTTGGGATTCTTTCTATTTGATAACTTTAAGTGTGGCATTTTTGCATGTAAAGGCTTATATTGGCTAGTTTTAGATGGTTATCCTAATAAGTACTGTCAGGAATTTGGCAGATCATGGAAAGGGAAGAGCTAAGTTGATTCAGTTTAGATAAAACTGATTTATTAACCATGGGACTGGGTTATAGCAAGGTTTTTGATCATGTTCCGACATTTGCTATTTCTTGAAGTAATAGGGTTGTTTTATTTCCTAAGAGGCATATATTTCAGGCGACTTAGAAAATGCATTATTAAGAGGTTTTCATTTCTAATTAATTGCACCAATTATGTAAAACCTATGCATCTGGCCAAATTCCTGCATATTGGTAGTTGGTCTGGATAAGAACACTTTGTAGCAAAAAATCTTAATTAGTATTAATTGAGAATCCAGTAATTAATTAAGCATCCGGTAGAAAATTAGTTTTATAGCTCCTACAAGGTTCTTTATTTCTTTTGTTCTACTGTCGGAGAAAGATCAGGAGTCATTCCTTTTTTTTAGACTGCAGTGGAAATTTGACATTTTCTTTTTTTCATTTGCAAACCATTATGAACTTTTTCTTGCTAGAGTGCCAAAGATAAAAAATTCTTAAAGATGTCAGAAGATTTTGTTGCTGTTGTTTTATCATAATAGCACACAATCTGCAAGGTTTTGTAAATATTAAAGATTTTTGCATGTGTTTTTATTTTCTAACCAAATGCTCAGAACAGTTGAAAAAGATGGTTTACACTTATGAAATATTTTCATGGTTTTGTATACATTGCTTTGCATAAAGAGGAGAACCATAATCTTAAAGTGAAAATTTTTATTTTAATATAAAAAAGGGTGCCTCTATAAAGTAATTTTTGAAACTCGTTAGGGTATTGTATCAGAGCTTGCAACAAATTTAAATGTCTCCAAATTTCTCAGTGATTTCAGAGATTTGATCTTTGAGGAGGGTGTATATGATATTTAGAAACAGCCAAAAAGTGATAGGGAGCAATATTTGATGAGTTGGATAGGTTATTAAAGTGGAAATAGTCTAGTATTTCGATGAGCCATTTATCTTGAATCCTTCCTTCACTAACTGTATGATAGGGACATTTCATTTAAACCCTTTGCGCTTTGGTTGCTTTATATCTGAAAATGAGGATGGTAATAGCAGATCTGCCTCTTTTTTGGTTGCTTTATATCTGAAAATGAGGATGGTAATAGCAGATGATTGCTGACATACTTGGAACATGTGCACATTCACAGTCAGTAATGTCTGTAGGTTCTTCTTCTCAAATGTTTCAAAATGTGTGCCCTCCACTCAATTTCCCCATGTCATTCCCTTAGTGTCCATTGCCATTCTTTCCGGAACAGTTGTAATAGCAATCTCTCATACTTCCCAGCCAACTTTCATTGTAAAGCAGTGTTTTTTCATTTTGAGAGATTTGGAAATTTTTTAAAAATCGTAGTGTTTCGTAGTCTCTTCCTTAAAAGATACCTACTTGACATTTTGTTTATCTGACTTTAAGATTTGTTTTTCTCTTCTCTCTGGTTTCCCTACTGCTAGCCTTATTCCATACATCTTCCTCTCTATCCCTTTAGTCTATTCATTAGCCTGTTCGTTTTACCTCTTTCAGCCCTAAATGAAGCTATAACAACATCACTTCTTTTAAATTCAGATCTTTTCATGTTTTATCACCATCTATCAGAGGAATTCCAATGGTCTAGCTTCTCAGACCTTCATGGTCTAGACCAGTTCTGTCTAGTAGAACTTTCGCCAATAATGAAATGTTTTATAACCATGCTTTCCAAATTGGCAGTAACTAGCCACACATGGCTGTTGAACACTTCAAATGTGGCTAGTATCACTGAGGATTTTAATTTAAACTTTTAATTTTAAATAATTTACATGAAAGTAACCACATGTGGCCAGTAGCCACCATGTTGGACAGCATAGGTCTCGACTTTGTCAGCCTCTCCAGCTTTTCTCTTTTTTTCTGCATATTTCCTGCCTTTCAGCCATGCTAAACAAATATGCTAATCCTTAAAGAAATCATGTTTTTAAAATTTTGTTTCAGTTTTATTGAGATATAGTTGACATGTATCATTATATAAGTTTAAAGACTAGAACATGATGATTTGATATACATATACATTACAAAGTGATTACCACAATAAAGTTACTTAACACATCCATCTCGGGACATATTTATACCATTTTTTTTTTTTTTTTGCTTAGAATGCCCTTTTATTCTTCGTCTTGGCAAATCCTTATCATCTTCAAGACTCAATTACACATCATCATGGGAGGATTCCATGACTTTCCCTTGGGGAAGGGTTAGGTACACTTATCTGCATTCTCATAATATCCCATATATATATCTGTGACTATTTATTTCACTACATTGTAGTCGTTTATACAAATGTCTGTCTTCCATCACAATGCCATGCCTTGAAAATGTGAACCATCATCATTATATCCTCAGAGCTTTGCCTGTCAAAAGAGAAAAAGAATGCCTGGTCTTATATCAGCTTATGTTCATGTGTCATTTTGGGCAAGTTGTATAACCTTTCTATGTCTGTTTTAATATTTAACCTATAGATTTGTGAAAGGATTAAATGAGAAAAACTATATAAAAGGCTCTGCCTAGTGTTTGGTGCCCTGAAAAACTTTCAGTAATGTCAGCAGCTTCTCTTTCTGTTGTCACTATTGTAAATGCTCAAAAAATATCTTTGCTCCTAATGCTTACAAAATACTTTATTATTTATTCTATACCTGGATATAAGATGTGTTTACCAAAATATGTAACTATATTAAGATAACTGAAAACAAATAAGCTAAAGAATCAGAACAAAGGGAGATTAAAAATAGGAAAAATAAAGTCAAGCTGGCTTGAAGTTAGAACAGCCAAACATCAGCCAGTTCCCCCCACCCCCGCTTCAGTTTTTATAGCATAGAATCACAGTAGCTCATTTTGAAGAAGGTAATTTCTTTGCCCAACGTTACAAGATGAAGTAGTTACAAAATGTGTATGAAAGTCTCTGAATGAGTTGCTTTGCCATATACAATGAGTGGCTAGAAGCCAATTAAATGACAGAGTATGACTGGTTTTGGAATTATTGATTCGAAGACCTTTCTGATAGTAGTTAGCAAAGCCAGTAGTTTAACCCAAGTGTCTTAAAGCGTAGATTGCAAAAACAGTCTCCAAGATATGGGAAGAAAATAGTA